GGACATAAAGACTAGTGATAGGGGGAAAATACAAACTGTAGAACAGTACAGGTATTCCCTCTCTTTAAGATGAAAAACATAGAGTAAGAGAATGAGGACCAAAGAGAGAGAGAGAGAGAGAGAGAGAGAGAGAGAGAGAGATTAAAGAGGACAGAAAGACGAGTGATAGGGGGAAAATACAAACTGTAGAACAGTACAGGTATTCCTTAACTCTCATTAATATGAAAAGCAAGGAGTGAGAGAATGAGGGCCAAAGAGAGAGAGAGAGAGAGAGAGAGAGAGAGAGAGAGAGAGAGAGAGAGAGAGAGAGAGATTAAAGAGGACAGAAAGACTAATGATAGGAGGAGAATACAAACTGTAGAACAGTACAGGTATTCCTTAACTCTCATTAATATGAAAAGCAAGGAGTGAGAGAATGAGGGCCAAAGAGAGAGAGAGAGAGAGAGAGAGAGAGAGAGAGAGAGAGAGAGAGAGAGATTAAAGAGGACAGAAAGACGAGTGATAGGGGGAAAATACAAACTGTAGAACAGTACAGGTATTCCTTAACTCTCATTAATATGAAAAGCAAGGAGTGAGAGAATGAGGGCCAAAGAGAGAGAGAGAGAGAGAGAGAGAGAGAGAGAGAGAGATTAAAGAGGACAGAAAGACTAGTGATAGGGAGAAGATATACAAACTGTAGAACAGAGAGAAGAAACATGTAGAAGAGAAAAGACAAAAGAGAAGATAGGAGACGAGGAGAAAGAGAAGTGATGCATAAAAAAGAGAAAGCAAGAGAAAGAGAGAGCAAGAAAACTAGGGAGCACAGACAGGATAAACAAAAGAAAAAGAGACATTTTAAAGAGAAAAATAGAGGAAAACAGAAAACATAATGTCTGTGAAATATTTTGTGTGAACACATTTCTTGGTACTTATCCTTTAATCGTGGTATCTTCTGGTCTTCTGGTCTTCGGGTCAGAGTGCAACATTTATCCAAATCTATCTGCTTAGTTCTTGAAGTCATGGTTGTTTGTAAAATAATTTTATATTTAAAGTATACGTGCACATCTATGTGTACTTATCTAACACTTTATTCCAGATACAAAAAATGTGCATCAGTAAAATAATGAGCTTTACAGGCTTTGTGAAGAAAGAAAGAAAAAAAGAAAGAAAGAAAGAAAGACAGCTTCAACATGAGAAACTAATATAATCATTTGACGTAAGAGGCTGGCAATTGCTTGGTAGCCAAGGCAACGGCATAAAAATGGACTCAATTCAATCGGGTGTAATTGATTGGGTTAGGATGGATAGAGCAGAAATATACCTTCATGTACTGAATCATTTAATCTGCATGCCGATGGAATACAAGTACATCTCCATGTACATGTAGTATAGAGCTCCATTAAGTACCGAAGCTGTGACGTCATAAAAATCTATTTTTAGAATTTCTCAATTGTTTGTTCATTTTCGGAAAGAGCATCAAAAATAATGTCCAAATGTCGAAAACCAATTGAATATGTTAAGTATTGGCTGAGATATGACCATCTGAATAAATATATGTCCTATGGGAACTCAGAGTTATATGCTCTGGCTCCTAGTGGTTAGGAGCCAGAGCATATAACATTGAGCTCCTATGGGGAGTATATTAGTTCAGATGGTCATATTTCAGACAATACTTAACATATCCAATTGGCTTTCAACATTTGGACATTATTTTTGATGCTCTTTCGGAAAATGAAGACAAAATTGAGAAATTCTAAAATTAAATTTTTGATGACGTCACACTTCACCACTCTATTGAACATGTCCACTTCTCTTTCGATGCACATCACAAAGACCAAAATTCATTTTACATCATACATGTAAGCTTGAAATATTGTGTATAATAATTTGCCATCAAATAAAGTCCAGATAAATAAGGCTGCATTGCATACCCATCAGATAGGAGGGAACACTCAATTGGTGTTATATACTTTTTTCTACAAAATTAGGGATGACATGTCATTATATCCATTTGGAAAATGTATTAGCTGAATGTGTTGCATATATGCACATGATGTAGATGTTGGTAATACATTTTTCATAAAAGTAATGAATAAATAAAATCTTGATTCTTAGTGAAATGAAATGATTGTTTATAAGTCCCACACCCCCCCCCCCCCCTCAACAAAACATGGTGAGACATTATAGCTAATGTTAGCATTAAAACTAGGATTGATGACTAAATTAGGTATAAAACATCAACAGTGCAATGCAATCAACTAATCTAGTCAGCATATTCACTATAAAACAATGAATTGGCTTTGCTTAATGGAGCTTTTCAATGTCAATGTTAATGGGTGTGAAATCAATTTGCAAAGTAATCTACAACTACATGTACATGGACAGATAATATGACACTTTATTTGCTTTAGATAATGGGGATATATTGCATGCCATTGTAAATTTTGTATCAAATTGCAATAAAAAATGAAGATTTGTTATGGCTGCAATTGTTGTCCAATTACAGGTGGTGCGCTCCGGTGCAATTATCTCGCTGAAAGCACCAAAATCGTTTTGAATATTTAACGGTCATCGAGGCACTTCTTGATCATTTTGAAGCACAATTTTTTGGGGGCTTCAATATTACTCCATATAACAGACAACGATAATACGTATGGCCGTGCATCTCAAATTTAACATTGTTAAATGATGCCTTTAAGATTCATTGTCATATATACCGGTATGCCAATTTTTTTGGCAGGTTTGCTGCGACACTTTCCCAGCGGTTTCACGTAAACAATGTCTTTATTCAACAGAAAAGCAAGGTCACGTCAAAAAAAAAATCGTGAGATAATTGCACTGGAGCTCACCGCCTGATTAGCACAACTAATTGGACAACTACTGTATGTCAGGCTATTTTGAGCAGGAGAAGACTTGTACGAAAAATGCTGTAATTATTACATAATTATCTACACATTAATTATATTTTTAAAAGAACTGTCAACATGTTTTTCTCTCCTTTCTTTTGGTTGACAACACTTTGATGTATATTGTGACATTGCAAAGTGGATGACTCTTTGAAATACTACTACTACTACTACATGTAACAATTATCAGCATGTTACAGGTACACATGCACCTTAATGAAAGAAACGTTGTGGAATCGATCAGAGAAGGTTGATCACCTACTGTAGCATACCGTAAATCTCAGTGTATAAGGCGCACTTTTTTTTTTTCTTTTTTTTTAGTTTCGATTTATGGCGCTATGCCTGGCAATGTCTCCTAGCTCAGTAATCGGTGTGTTGACTCACCACTCGGAAACTACAACAACACTCAAATTTGTCATCTTGGTTTGAAAGTAATCTTTCTAATAGATCATGCATGACTATTGATGTTTGGCATAGAACACACTGCTTCTGCTAGGTGATGTGAGGAGGCTGGTGTGGGACACTTGGTATCATGAAGCCTCAGACTGTTGTTACTATTAATTGTGACAAGTTCACAACTTCAACTGCACCTCGATGTAAAATGAAGGTCCTTCCCCGCGTGGGTTTTCGGCAACAAAACAACAACAACAACAAAACAAAAAAACAGGTGCGCCTTATACACGGAGATTTAAGGTATAAGTATTGGTGTGTACTGCAAGATTCTGGAATCATCAAGATGATAAGAAATGTGGCCAAGTCTTGGTAAAGTTACAATCACTGTACACAGAAAGATGTATGGGACTAAGCGATAAATTATTGTATCTATTTGTACTGGATAGATATTAGATATAATAATTTACCAAATATATCAATTAGTAGGCGGTTTCCTGGCAAAATTTGTATCATCATGTATTAGTCAAAACATATTCTTTCACATGATTAGTAATAAGAGCTTCCATTTCATTTTTTGAGAGGGGGGCGTTCCCAAAACTGGTCTATACCTTTAAGACGGCAGGTCTTCTTTGATAATGATCTTCCTCACCAAGATTTCCTTACATGAAAGGAATTCAGGATCTTATATCGAGAGCTACATGTAAATGATATCTACAGGGAGGATGGACACATCACATAACAACATCACAAATGGCATGATAATATTCAGGGGGCTGGTAAGATAGAACTACTTTGCCTAGAGTGTTTACAAGAAGGTGTGGAATAACAGAGGCGCTAGCTCTTTGAACCAGAGCCTCTCAAAATAGAAAGATAGCAGTTAATAGCATTGATGAGATCCATGATGATACAAACACCTCACGGCAAGATGTAGTGCACGTGGATCATGTACAATGTACAGTCTCTTGGGCTACCCATAAAGATTAGTTAGATGAACAAGATGAGTCAGAAATAAACTACAGAGTAGATGTGAGATATCTAGCTGTGGCAAGCTCTGAAACATTTCCAGATACCAGACATCTATATATAAAAGGAACTATGACCAACCCAATGCTGTGTTCTAGAATAGAAAATATCTTGAAAACAGGCTTCATACATGTATATCATGTAAATTTTAACCTGCAGAAAGAAAAGATTCATTTCAGGACAAAATGTGTCCTAACATAGACAATTTTGTCTAATGTTCATGAATGTTGTGGGGTTGTAGATATAGGGCCATCACCTTTCATTATGTATCACATAAAATGAATTTTACAAGCACCATGCTTGGTACATCTTGAAGTTCACTCACCATACAATCTAGAATTGATAAGAAATCTTTGAATTAAGGAATTCACGATAGGGTTGAGTATGCTTCAGATATGAGATTCAAGAGAGACTAATAGGTGAAGAAAGCAGCATTGTCTGATGAGAACCTTGGGGTCTTATAGGATAGGGCTGAATTCTAACGCCATTCTGGCTTTGAGCTGACAATATAATTCTGTTCTAGAACGCTGAAAAGGAAGCTGTGAAAGATAAATTGTAAAGTACATGAATACCTGCCCCCCCCCCCCCATTAAAAAATGTTTTTAAAATTGCAAATGCCACTCGAAATCCTACATGTGAAAAAAGAGGAAACAATTATCCTTTTCTACATACGTGGGAAACAGAATCGTATGTGCCTACCTTGATAAGATTCTTCATAAGTCTGCTTTTCATGACTTCTTTAAGGAAGAGTAAATCAACACTCTGTGCATGAGTAGAGTTTCCCAGCATATCCAGGCTATCTACCATTGCATCTATCGCCTCTGTGAATTGGAGAAGAGAAAAAAATACATAGAAGATCATAATCTTCTCGCAAATATTCCATGAAATTAATTATTAGCAGAGGTGACTTTCCAGTTTAATAATTGTTTTCATGAAGATTTGATTGAAAACAAGGTTCAAGTATTATTTTGAAATATAAAACTTGAATCTCATATCTTGGCATCAACTATGAAATGATCAATTTTAAATCCCTCCGTCGCATCAAATAGACCGACATCAGACCAACAACTACAACAACAAAACAAAACAAAAACATTTCCCCCAAATAGTAAGAGGCAGCTCAGAACAAACATCTACAAGATTCAGTTGGTTTTGGAGTTGGTTTATGGTATGCTTGGCAGTGTGACTGAGATGTAAAGAGATAACTAAAGGCCATCTTGAAAGTACAGTATTTCTGCTTCAATCAGCATTCAACATCACACTTTCTGATCAACTTAAAATTCATCATGCTTGCTGAAATGAAAGGAATACGATGAATATAAATCAAATAAAAAGTGGGAGAGACGGTCCATTAATATGGATGAACTTCACCACGTACAGGACTCTAAGCTGGATTGTTTGTCATCCAATACCCCCTCAACCACAATATATTCCATATTTTCAGAAAATATATTCCTTGCTTCCAATAATATTTGACGTTGCTTATTTCACTAGCAGTATAACTTAATAAACTGTGTACATCTACTGTGTACTAACGTCCATGGATGCTATTTTTTCAACATGAGCTTGTTCACTATAAAATTCAAACTTAAATCTTATCAGTCAGAATTTCATAAAAATGGGTAATAATGCAATTCTACAAATCAAAAAACAGATAAATAATAATGACAGAAACATTTAGAAACATTAATTTCCTGGAGATTATGAATATCTGTCTACTACCATGCTCTCTCTCTCTCTCTCTCTCTCTCTCTCTCTTTCTCTCTCTCCATTTCCTTGTTTAGACAAACAAACAATTATTTATTCAAACACACAAACAAATAAACAAACAGATGAAAAGAAATTACATTTACCTTGACCAGATTCTGATGAACCGTCTGTAGCAGGCATGATGTCATTCTCTCTCTCTGTTTCATTAAGAAGAGTCATTCAAAAGGACCTCTCAGAACCAGTAAGAGTCTGCCCACAAAAAAGGTCAAAACAAGAATAAAATACAACAAAAATCCACAAACTGTCCTTTTTTATCATTTGCTTCATAAATCAAATGAAGTGCCACATGTATTGTATACACCGGTACATTACATAATTTACATATAAGATGATATTCAGGTGTCTGTATGTACATGAACACGTTTGTCTGATATTTTTGATATGGTACTAAGTTTTCTCTATTATCTCTTCACATTTAGTTTAGTTGTATGTAATCTTTATCATGCATGTCCTCTGTAACTCTCTGTTGAAATGTAATTCATCAAATTACGTACAGTGTACATTGTATCAACTATCGACTTACATCTGTACCTGAGTCTAATTGATTTTATATATTTAAGTGATTAGCTTGTTACACACAAATAATTGATTGATTCTTCACTCAAGCATAAATGCAGATCAATTCCGAGGATGAAAGAAACAAGACGTACATGTAAATGAACATTACAATAACAGTATGTTGCATGCTTTCTGCAATACAAAAGCTTCAGCCCATTCCTCTTCAGCTGATTGTATTTCTTAATTTGATGTAAGGGCCTGTAGCATGGGTAATTGGATACACTCTAGCAGCTTGTTTCTTCAATAATTCACAATGCTAGATGCATGTAGCCTCAATGCTAAATGCATGTAGCCTTCATCTATTGGTAATACTTAAATCAATCAATCAATCATTGGTCTCTGTTCTCGATGCAGAATTTGACAAATGGGATGTGATGAGTATCTGTAAAGGCTAATTTACAATGTTTGAAATTACCTTACATAGTTACAGTAATTACATCCATTCGTCTCTCAGTGCAACATTAAAGGACCGCAAATAATTTCCATTCAATATTAATTATTAGCAAAGCTTTCACGTAGCTCAGACTCATCACGTATGACATTTGCAGAACATGTGTACTTTCGCAAAACAATTTCAAATGAGCACAATTCGAAGAAAAGTACAGTTTTGTGTCAGTAATGAGTATCAACCACTGACTGAAACAAAAATGAGTAATCCTCTTTTATTGTTAGTTGCACAGTGTCACAATCACAGGGGGTTTAAACAAAAAGACCTTTTAACAATTATCTTTGACTTCACAGGAATAAGGTTGAATATTTTCCCTTCAAGACATTTGCTTTTAAGGGGAAGTGGCTCAGCAAGCAATGCAATTATACATGAGCAATGCAATTATACATGCATTCTTCCCCTCACATATCAAGCTGTTCTTTAATAGGGCATATTACTCTCCGTGGAGCACTTGGCCTTTTGTGCGAACCGTTATGCCATCCATCAAATTGGCAACAACTGTTCAATCATGAGGGGAGTCTCATATGAGCGAGAAAGAGTCGGCAGAAATTTGATCTGAAATGCATGAAAAATATATTAATCCCCTTGAGCAGCAAAACAGTATTTGATATCATTTACATGGAGTTGATCATTTCAAGTGCATCTAATCATTCCTCAGAGTATTCGAGAAAAGAATGCTATTCCAATGAATGCATGTACATTGTGTGAATACTATAAATAGAAATAGGGAAATTCACTGCAGCATAAACATGCAAAGCAAAACAAAAAGAGGGTGGTATGAACAGCTAAACCTGCTTTAGTGACCACATATCTACAAAGACCACATTTTTTCTTCCCTTGAAAATAGTTTCTCATTGAAACATGTACTAAAGGAACCTGTACATAAAGACCACCCAAGCGCGTAGCCAGGATTTCATTTTAGGGGGGGGGGGGCGGTAATGAACACGCGAAACACTTACAGAGCGCGCGAAGCGCGCTCCCTAGGGGGGTGGGTGCAGGTGCGAAGCGCGGAAGCTTTGAAAGAAGACGATTCGTTGTACCTTTCTCGAATCATAATCCTTGTCTGAATTCAGTCCCTCCCCCCTCTCGCGCGAAGCTTTGACGTTTCATCAAAATATTAGAGAAAAGTGACGATTCGTTGTACCTATAATTTCCCCGACTCTTAATCCTTATCTGTAGGGCAATTCCACGGTAACGGAAGGACACTCAGACAAGATTTTTGAACTTCAGGTTCATACTAAAAGAAATGTTTTATTAGTATGTATTAAACTATGGGGAACAAAATGTGTTTCAGTCAAGTGGAAAGCTTCATCAACTTCACAAAGTTTGGATAAACACTAATTAACTGGAAAAACCATGTCCATTTTTATGTCCTTCCGTTATCGAGATAATTAATATGCACATTCTTAAACTACTTAACTGTAATGAGAATTTTTTTGGGGAGAATTAAAGGCACTTATATAGGTATTATATCTGTACTGTTTCACATCTTATACTAATAAAACAGTTCTTTTAGTATGAACCTGAAGTTCAAAAATCTTGTCTGAGTGTCCTTCCGTTACCGTGGAATTGCCCTGTATTAAGTCCCCCTCCCTTCTTTGAAAGAAGACGATTCGTTGTCATTTTCTCGACTCATAATCCTTGTCTGAATTTAGTCCCTCTCCCTCTCACGCGAAGCTTTGATGTTTTTATTAAATTATTAGAGAAAGAAGATGATTCGTTGTACCTTTCTCGACTCATAATCCTTGTCTGCAGGCGCGGATCCAGGATTTCTTAGGGGAGGGGGCCCAACTTTTTTTTTTTTTGCTCCCGAAAATTTGAAAATCGCGCCGGCCGAAAAGTCGGTCAGTGGGGGGGGGGGGGGGGGTAAGCGGACATTTTTTTTTTTTTTTTTTTTTTGAGTCCCAAAAAAAAAAACGCAACGACTCAGCCAGCCGAAAAGTCGCTCAGTGGGGGGGGGGGGGGGGGGGGGGGGGGGGGGGGGTGTAGTGAGCACAATTTTTTTTTTGGTCCTCGAAAATTTTAAAATTTGCACCCCCCCCCCTTGAGCGCCAGGGTGGGGGGGGCCAACCCCCCAAAAAGGTAAAAATCGCGTGATTTTGCATGATTTTTTTTTTCTTCCCCCGGCCCCCCCTGGATCCGCCACTGCTTGTCTGAATTTAGTCCCTCTCCCTCTCGTGCGAAGTTTTGACGTTTCATTAAATTATAAGAGAAAGAAGACGATTCGTTGTAACTTTCCCGACCCTTAATCCTAAATTTGAACTCAGTTCCCCCTTCACGCGCGAAGCACAGAAGCTTTGATGATTCGTTGTACCGTTCTCGACTCCTTTTCCCTTTTTCTTCCTACGTCTTCTTTTTTTTTCTCCTCTTTCTCTCTCTTTTTTATTTGGCCGGCGTTTTTTTTTTGGGGGGGGGCGACCGGCCCCACCGCCCCCCCCTGGCTACGGGCCTGAGACCACCTGCCTGTAAAGAACACTTTCTGCCTCCCTTGGTGGTCTTTATAGACATGTGTCACTGTATTATAATAATCATCTGGATCATTGACAGACAAAGTGTATATTCCTTTAAATATTAAAAAGTCATTCTAACATGATGGAGTCATTATCTTAGTGAAGTACATGTAGGTCTTGGCTACTCACATGTATGTATTGACTACTTCAGTATAGTATAGGAAATACAGTATACAGTACAATAGTATAATATAAAGTAAAGTATAGTATGTTAAAATAAAGAAGAATTACATATTTCTCTTAAAGCCACAGCTACATGTATGCGAGTTCCAGTCAAAATTACAATAAATAATGTCATTTATCATTTGCAGTTTAATACAAGAAGTAGTCTAACAAGAAGCAAATATCCATCAAAGGCACCGCTCATGTACATCTACGTACAATCAAGAGGAATGAGATTTATGACTCTAATACTTACAGTGTTCAGCGATCAATGCAAACAGCAAACAAAATAATAACGATCCAGGTTCAGAAGCTCAAATGAAGCTTTACATACTGTATCTTAGCAACATCTACCTGTATATCACTTATCAGAAGATGACAATAAAATGACCTAGCAAGTAGCAACGCAACCTTGCATCAAAATTGCTTCAACCACCATCCCATCAATACACGACACCGATGTGAGAACTCTCCAATGCATATCCCCTCACCACCAGGCAGGAGAGAAACGATCTTGACAGCCGCAAAATCGCGGAGGAAAGGAGGAAAGCCGTACGGATCGAGCTCCAGAGGCGTTAAGGGTGGAAGAGATTAATTGCCCCCAAGGCAAGATTTACACACAGTCTTGAACTAGTCTACACATCTAGACCTTCTTCCCTTGATCGACATCATGATCTACTATAGATATCACATTCAAGGGGGTCTGGAATGACTTTCGTGTAAAGAAGGGGATCCTCTTGCAGACTGATAAATTCATTCAGGTTTCCCTTAACACAAATATTCTCCTGAAAGTGACGTTCTAAATTAAAAGTGACAATGGGTCTGAAAAGGCAGACAAGCCTGGACCATGTACAAACGTTTGAAAACATAGCAGGCAAACGAAAAGACAGCGAGCAATCGGAGCATATTTATAGAGTGGTAACACATTAGAGCAGGAAAGATGAGCTAACTGCTAAGGAATGACACATAGATGTGTATCCTAGATTATTACAGTATTGATTTTCTTTCAAGTTAACCTTTAAGTGGATAGACTTGTCAGTTGCAAGAGCCAGAAAGGAAAAAAATATTCTTTGGAAGATAATGTGAATTTGTTCTCTAACTTCATTTCCCTTTCTTTCTTCATTAACTTCTTTAATTTATCTATACTTGCTGCTTTCATTCCTCCCTACGTGTACATTCAATCTTTATCCTACATTGATTATTAATAATTTGTCCATTCATTAAATATTATTCTTCTCACCGCATTCATATCTTTTAATCATAACATTTCTGCCGAGAGCTATTTGGATGAAATAATACCCTTCTGGCTTTCAACAAATTGTGAATTGCGTCTCTCAGGCATGGCATCTCTACTCCCGTCCAACGCAAAATTATATTTATTTTCATTAAAGCTATTTGCATCTGCGAAATTGTTGGAAGAGTGAATTTTTTTGCAACATTATTGTATGTGATTTCTAAATTTCTTTATTGACTTTATTACTGGAGGTCTTTCGGAGCTTCCCAAGCAGAGCTTCATGTACATCTTCTCCTATCCAGTGTACTATTTATGTTTAATGGTTTCTACTGTGTTAAAGCAATCAGGTGATACATACATGCAAGTCACATCTTCCTGCTGTATAAGGTTACAACTGCCTGAACCTCACATTATCTGCTCAGAAATAGAAGGGCGTAAACTCGTATTGACACTCTTCTGGTTCTCAACACACGACACGTTCTTATGTTTGGATTCGAGACTGTCGACGACAACGGTACTCCCATTATCAGACATCTGCAGCCGTAGTTACCATGGTAACAGTATTCATCTGGTATCTGATAACAATAAAAGGAGCAAATATTCATTCTCACATGGATGCCAACCACTTAGGCCCAGTGTTACATCTTCATAGATTACTATGAGATGGAAAGCTTGCATGGTGATCCACATGTTGTTACGGTACATGTTTTTAGAACACTCTACTTTGATTGACATGCATACAGGTTTTTTGTAATTCATTTTGCATTGAAAAAAACAAAGACAAAGGCAGTTTTATGGTGGACTATTTCATGTGTATATGAGTACTGTGATAACCATAGACTGATTTCAAAGGTCAAAATGAATGAAAGAGAGAGAGAGATAGAGAGAAAGAGAAAGAGATAGAGAGAGAGAGAGAGAGAGAGAGAGAGAGAGAGAGAGAGAGGTGGGGGGGGGGAACAGCTATAATTACTTTGCTTTATATAAATGTACATGTACATGTAGGCACGTGTTGGTTGTCAAGAGAAAACAAGAAAATGGTATCACATGTAATCTTCATTCCCCTCCATGTCCCAATTCTCTATTCAGTACCACCCCCCCCCCCCCCCCGAAAAAAAAAGAAGATAAATGTATGTTTGGTTTTGTGAAGCTATGAATCTCAAAAGTTGTATCTAAAACAATTTGCAGCATTTTACAATTCATGAAACATGTACATGTACATTACATTAATTGCACAAAATCATATTTTTAACATGTTCATGGTTTATGATCCATTTAAAAAAGTTTTAATAATCTACACAAAATCATACTATTCATACACAAATGCAACCTGCATAATCATATAAATACATGTAGGGCAACTCAGAAATTAAAAATGCATGTAATAGTAATAATCTTTATTTCATTCTCAATTTTTAAAAAAAAGGCATACCCGGTACATACATGTACATGTTAAATATATACACAACAGAGTAATTACCAATTTGATTAACATGTAAGTGGGTCTAGGTTACACAGCAAATATAAAATGCAAACCTGTCGACGGTTAAAAAGCTTCATCGTGATTGTTCCCTATCCACATGCAAGAACATGCAATTACCATGGGAACAACTTCCTCAGTTTAGAAGTGTACAGCAAAAATCAAATGTCAAAAAATGTCATCAGTGTCGCTAGTAATAATGACATCACCATGTTTTCAGTAAGCTGATGAGCAGAGAGTCTATCCGACTTCCATTCAAAAAGACAGTTGTTTTTGTTTCCTCAAGCATTATACTCATTGATGATGCCATTTTCAAATTGTAAAGGTAATTTTATCTTGATTTTGTACTCAAGATTGGAGCCCCAGTATTGAGAGAACAAGTCTGAATAATTCCTAAATTATGATATATTCTTTCATTCATTCATAGCTTATGCCTTGATGCCCACAATATGGAAATAAATAACACTCTATGAAGATTTCATACACATGTAAAAGATTTGTTTAGCAGTATTGTGTGATTCATGAAGTCGATACCATTGGTGACAGATTCTAATGGACCCTGACACTAATGGCAAAATCAATCATGATTCAGCCAGACAGACTGTAAATTCAATAAATGCAGTGAATTTGAGGATTTGACGAGGTAAATTGATTTGATTACTTAGGATGAGTAACCAGATTTATCATATTAGAGCTACTCAACCAAATCACTGTTTGAAGTGACTCCTAGTCATTTAGGTTACATGTACATTAGGTGAGTCAAACTCGAGGTGACAATATCTAAAATGAAATCAATGTCAAAGGATATTCTTACACTGTACAAGGTTATACAAATATTTTGCTATCATGGGTTGAAAAAAATCTAAACTATTAAATAATAATAACAAAAATATGCCATACTTTTATAGATATTAAACAAAATATCTAACAGACATTTATATTTGGGATTTTTGTTGTCTCAAAATAAGTTGAAAATATCTGGAAAAAATTTCATTTATCAACCTTGTCAATAACGGATTGCAAACAAAAATAAAGGAACATTGATATAAAAAGCATACTCCTACAAACTACAATCCACGTACATGGACATGTATTTGATTAGCTGTCAATAATTCTTTAGAACATATTTATTGAAGGATTTGAAGCACCTTATGTTGTCAAGACTTTCAAGAGAATGACAGGAAACGAAACCACTTGTTTCTTTAATTCCTAGTCTTGAGGGTTATGAAGGAAAACTAAATCAATTGCCCACCGACCAACAAGACACAGAGTTAGGTTTCTATCTGAACTGAGGGGCTGGTTTGGTGGGAGAGAAAACATAGCTCACAGCAGGTATGTAGTCAAGTTTCAATTAACATTTTTCAGCACTGCAGGATATGAGAGCAGGGTTGTAGGTCATGTCTTTGGTGTGTTGAGTAAGGTACAGGCATTTCTCATTTGATTGATGCCATGTAGGAATCAATCAAAAACACATACAGTGTACATGTATTCTGAAACAACCTTTATGTTAAACAGGTCTGTATTTTTCTTTTCATTTTTTTTCTTCATTTCACTTAAATTTGCAAACAAAAGTATAAATTGTTTGCTTATAAATTTATAAAGCCATTTCACACTTAAACCAGACCTGTGGTTCCCATATTAAGCCTTTATGTGGAGATGAGGGATATGATAATTGATTCACATACGGTCTAATGCACGCAAGTAATTATAATGTGTTCTTACATTATGTTCAAATCATATGAGGCTAGCTATATGAGGCATCTTGGATTTTTAAAGTATACAAATTACTTATGAATCCACATATCCATGTAAATGTACCTGTACATGCCTGTACATGCAGCTACTATTAGGAGTCAATGAATATTCAAACATACATGATCAAGCAAGACACAATACAGGAAGTTGGTTATAGTTTGACATTCATTGCTTGTTAGCTCCCTTAAAAGTAATAAGACTAGTTTACTGAAAAATTCTAATTTTATACATACTTTTTAAACAAAGGTTGTTCTTGAAAACCTGAAAGCATGCCCGACATAGCAACATGTAATGCATGAAGACCAGATTACAAGTATTGTAGTTCAATCATTACTAATGTTCAGGTTAATGTATAATAACTTCTCACTAGTCCCCAGGAAAAAAACATATGTTAGTAAACCAGCAATTCATGTGAACCCGGGCATTTCATATCAAAGACAATGCAAAGAACTAAAGTGTAGATCTCTCGTCAAGGATAAAAGGCTTTTATAGCAACAGCCCCATCTCTATGGAATGCTCTTCCACTAAATATTCAATAAAGCAGAATCCCTAGGAATAATGAAAACAAGTCAAGAGTCATACTGTTCCTTATATGTTATGATTGTATATTTGTTAACAAGCAATTTCTCCCGTTTCGTATACATGAGAATTATTTTCTACAAATAAAAATAGAAATATATTCATTTTTAGAATAAAAGACATGGAAGTAGTTCGCTTCTGAGTTTGATGATCAATCGCAAATTCAAATCTCCATTTGTAAGTGTCTCATCCTTCAGGTATTTAAATGTTTATTTTCTCCTTAGCATGAGCTATCCATAATAAAGTACCATACAATGAATTTGAGGTCTCGATTCCTGGGCCTTCACAACTTTTGAACCTTTGAAGTCCGAGTCTGACTAGGCTCAGGCCCAATGACCATACTTTTCACCCAAAGACCATCAAAGTTTGGAACGAACTCGTCTTCCACATCTATTAATGCACCCACTATAAAACATGTTTGGGGCA